GCAATTAATGCATAATCGAGATCTGCGTTTCTCATGGCAAATATCTTCGGTGCCGTTCGGCATCGCGCATAATTTAGGGGAAAAAAAATTCAACGTTTCAAGGGAACAAATAAAAAAATTTCCCAAATCTAATTTTGGATGGATTTTTCCAAATGGAGAAAAATCTGGCGCTTCATCTGCCAAGCATCCTTTGGAGCTCGAAAAGAACGATTTGTGCGATTGAGACAGACCGGTCATCGCCCATGCTTCAGGGAAAAGCTTTCTTTCCGGTTGAAAATGAATCTTTCCAGTGTTAGTTCCAGTTTTTCTTTTCAACGCCGGCGAGAACTTCTCCCATTATAGTTTATTCCGACCTTGGCATATTGGCTGAGCCAATAGGCCAAGAATTGGCATATTGGCTGACGTTCACTGCTCTTCATCCATGACTGCATGTGATTACAAAATTGCTCCAAAAAATAGAAACATCCGAAAGCGATGTGGTCCTGTGTGAAATAATTGCAAGGAAGGGGGGAAAAAAAAAATACTTATTTTTCTGCTAGATGACGAAAATGCCAATCCGAGAATTTTCTTTGAGACATTCCAAACGATTCCAAATCGACGTGGGAAACGCGATGGGAAAAAGTTCCGAGTCGGACAAACAACTTTGGGCTTTCACGGAAATAAAAGTAATAAAATAAAAATAATTTATTTCCTGAAAGCTAATTTTCTTGGACGCTGAGGAAACCGACTTCTGCACTTCGCCTCCGAGCCTTTCAGGACTTTCAGCCTTTCAATCGACATGAAATCAGGGTGGAAAATGGAGAGATTTCCCCCCCGGCAGGCCTAGAAAAACGTCGCAAAAATCATCAGACTTTGTCGCCCGACTTTGTTGCCCGACTTTGTTGCCCAACCACAGCGCATGCCTCAGACCATCGAGAGCTCCCATTCCAAATCCCAATAAATAATAAATAATAATAATACATAAATAACAGGCTGCGAGTGTCCTTGGGACCAGGTACAGAAGGTCTTTATCTCTTCGCGCTCGAAAAAAATTTTTTGTTCACGAGTGGTATACTCGGGAGATAAAATTCTTTGCTGGTAAAATGTTTCGAGATCGAACTGAGGCAGGATAAGGGCTGTGCGCATCGGAAAGTACTTTAGCATTACTTTAAATATTATGGTAAAATTGACTATATTTGCAGGACAATCATTAAAAACGTCCAATTCCCGGTGTCGAATGCGAATGCCGACATGACAAGGTCAATGAAGGTCAATGAAGGTCATCTCGCGAGCTTGGAAAGCGATGGCGTAGTCCTTGGATTGGGAATTACAGATAACATATGATGGATTGCTTTTATTATATCATCATCATCATTATCATGTAACATAATAATATATACAACGCAATAACGTAAACAGGTTCCCAAGTACCATCAACACTTTCATGACTGGGAAGAACTGGAAGCAAATGCGACAACATGCATGCATGAGGACGCAGGATGCGTGCATGAGGACGAAGGATGCAGCATGTCGGAAAATTCGCCTCGTAATCCAGCTGCTTCCTCGCGAGGGGCATTTGTCTTCTTGGGCATTTGTCTTCTTGGAGAATCGAATGCACTGGATGAAATAAAAGTGGAGGGGGTGAGACGCAGCAGTGACGCGCCAACAAGGCGCTTCAGTTGTTGAGGTGAAGCTGCTGTGTTTAATGAAGTCTATGTGGTGCTTTCAAAACGGCGCAGCGATCGAATGCAATTCTTCGTGTTACAAGTTGCAATTTATTTGAAGGGCAAAAAAAAAATACAGGATGGGAAGAATCTAATAGGCATAGCAGCCCCTGCACCAGCACCCGTGACCAGGAAGGCAGGACCCAAAGCCACAGCCCCTCGCCTGGCACGAACGGGAGCAGTTGTCTGGGACGCACTCTGCCTCCACCGCTGTGTGGTGGGCGACGATCGCCGCGATCAGCAGGAGGAGGATCAGCAGTCTGGACATCATTGCCTGGATGGGAGAATGGAGGGGGAATGGAGGGGGAACGGAGGGTCGACCGAATATTTGAGAATGTTTGGGCTGAGTTGTTCTTACCTTATGTGGAATGAAAGGGAGTTTTAACGGGGACGCTGGAATGAGGACACGGACTTGTGGAACGGCGAATGCAAGACGAAACTCAAAGAATGCGGCGGAAGCACGATGCGGTTCCTGCTTTTATACTTGCTTCCAGGACGAAGAATGAGTGCTGGACTATTTTTTGTTCTTTTTTTAAATCTCACGCCCTGGAAAGACGTAGATGTGGTGTTGACGCGTTCGGATCGAACTGGTTCCCAAGAGCTGACCGGCATACGGAATGACCCGGGAATCGTTGTCCTTGAATGGTGCTCGTCGAATCGAAGGGGGTCTTGCCAATTGGCATTGGCGTCGTTGGAATGAGAAAAATGATCTGAAGGAATTGTTCCTTGTTTGGCTGGCTGCAGATTTTCAACTTCGATAAAATTTTCAAATAAAATTTTCCAAACTCTACCAAAAACTATTTCCACTGATATGTCCTCAAACCAAAGATCATGGCGATCCGAATTTTTTTTTTGAAGTTTCGTTAGACAACGAAAGTTCGAATTTACAAACATACAGGAAAAGAATGGAATCCAACAATTTTTTTTCTTGCGCAGATGACTAATTAAAACAATTGCACTCGACAAGCATTCCGCATATTTTTTTATATTGTATTTCATTGGAAGCAGCATCATTCCAGATCAACACTGAAGTCGGCAATCATATCAACGTAAACGGCATAATTAAAAAAACAAAAACATTAATTGAATCATAAATTGAGGATGAGCAACTTGCACTCAGAATTTCAGGCATTCCAACCTCTGCCAGGGTCGAAATGCAAGAGAATCGGCTTCGTCGATGAAAGGGAGAAAAGGGGGAGAGGGAGAGAGAGAGGGAGAGAGAGAGGGAGAGAGGGAGGGAGAGAGAGAGGGCGGCGCATTATCCCCCTCGTGATTGGGCCTTGGGCCTTATCGCCCTGGGCCAGCCTCATTGCATTATCTTCGCCTCGCATGCCTCCGAGATTCCCTGAGAAATGGGGACGATGGGGCGAGGAGGCTTCTCATCGGTTTTTTCTCTCTGGGGATTTTCGAGAGGAGGGGTCGGCTGGGATGCGATTATGTTCGTATTAATATTATTATTATTTTTTGTTACGGAGTTGTATTTAGGAAGATTTTAAAGATGGTTTTAATCGGAATCTCCGAAAAGTCCAGAAAATCAGAAATAACTAACTTCATATTTATTTCCTAATTTCGTGGAACTTATTGTTTCCCCGAATATCAGATGGGTGGCGCGCATTTAAATCCCAGTCAACTCGACAAACTTAAACTTAAAAACTCGATAATTTCACGCATTGAAGCCATTCCTCGGATTTTAAGGATCCTAAGTTTTATCTTAACCTTCGTTCCGCTTCGTTCCCGCTGAAATTTCCGCCCAACCCAGAACGAAAGCGAAACCTTTGCGCTGTTGGACGGATCGGGGAGAAACTTAAAAGTAAACCAAAGGAGATTTAAAATAGTTTACATATTATTTAACTCATCTCAATTGGATTATTGGATTAAGAATAATATTTAATCTCGTGTGGTATATTTGTTTTCTCGCGGTTCCGTACCGTCTCGGTTGGTTCTTGGATTTATGATACGCACATTTTTTAACATACCGGTCGATGAAGAAATCTGTTGGCACACCGCAAGGACAAAAAAGGTTGATGAAACATTGATGAGGACAATGCGCATGTTGATGACGTCATTCGCGCTGAGATAATCCGCGACGCTGAAACGGCCTCGGTGTCGAGATTCAAGGTCAGACTCTTGGTGCCATGGGGTCGGAATGGCAGACGTGCGAAGTTTCTGATGAAGGTTTTTAAGTGCGTTTCGTGGGAGATAGCTCTGACTTTTAAGTCGCTTAACGAAAATGGGAGGAATGAGAAATAGAGGGGGAATTCGTGGAGACGAGTCATTTTTCTAAGGCTTTACCCCAAGAAGTGGTAAAAAACTGCAACAAAAAAAAGCACCAAAGCACTAAAGCACAAAAGATCCTCTAATATTTTCGTTCAATGAAATCGCTGGAATTTTTGTAGTGCAACAATTAAACTCAGAGAATTAACAAGGGATCATTCGAGCTCTTAAACTGCTTCAATTGCTTAATCCACGGGCCAGTAATAGAGGAAGAAGGTAATTACAAGGCAACGCGCACCCACGTATGCATGGGACTGCCCCCATGCATACATGGGTGCGCGAAGCAGGGAGCGAAGCAGGGAGCGAGGCAGGGAGCGAAGCAGGAAGAGAGACGGAACTGCGCAAATAAATTATGAGAAGGTGACGTTATTTCCAATGGCTCTGCTTCATGGTAGAACGAATCCATTCATGTAATTCGTGCCACTCGACGACCATTCATGCCCCATGGGCGTGTTGCTTCTGAAATTTTCTCGTTCTTTTGTATTTGCACGAGCAAATCTTCGTTTAATATCTGTTTTGCGATTGCAATTTTTTTCTCACCGCTTTGCATTTATTTAAGCACCAATTTCAGTTACGAAGATTATTGTAGTGCTCGAATGTTAATGCAAATCGTTTCGTGAGGACGATTTGGCTTCCAATCTTCTTGGTTGGCACTTTTATTTCGGGCGTGGCACAATATATCAATAGAAATCGACAGTTACCTTTCGTCCAGGCGAGATGTTTGGCCAAAACATCTCGTGCATCTTTAACTGATAGACATAAAAAAAAAGTGGAATGATAAGACTGGTCGATTTCAATGATATAAAAATGCTTCATTGAAGAACTTGCATGAAAAAGGGAAATTTACGGAACTGGTCAAAATAAGCTTTCGTGCAATTCAGACGGAAAGTCAGCATCGGCCGTATTGTCCTTCGGTGAATTGCTCGATAAAACTTTTTCCATTAGCATTTTTACATCACCCGATCGTCATCGAAGAAGCGATACGACACGGAATGAAGGCAATTTAACGGCGATCTTCGCCGTTCATCGAGCAGCGAAAGCGAGGATGGAAATGGGAGCGAGAATGGCACAGGTCGCATACAAGGCACGCCGGGGTATGCACTCTGACTCCATCACGTACGGCGTCTCCCACGCGTCCTCCGGCTCGGCGAGGACCTTCCGCGCGTCCTCTGGCTCGGCGGGGACCTTCCACACGACCACCTTGTCCGAGGACCAGAAGGACAGGGGGATGTCGCACGTCGTCGCGTTTCGACATCCCGGAGTCGCATGGTCCAGTTCGAACACGACTCGGTCCACCTCCAGTTCGAAGAGGATCGCATTCGGCTGGATCTCGTTCTCCGAACCGAACACCACGTAATAGTAGCCGTCGACCGTGATGTTCTGCGTCCATTCCACGGAGGCGTTGGCATGCCAGAGGGGGTTCGAGTTGGTGCATTCGTGCGTGGGCTCCAGGTCGAGGTTCAGCAGGACGCCGCGGCATGTCAACAACGCTTCTTCGCTGCTCGAAAACGAGCTCTTGTATTCGGAATTCGACTGGTCGTCGGTGTGGTTTTGACTCAGGTGCCCCGTGACGTAGGTCCCCGTCGGAAGATCTTCTTCCTCGGCCTTATCCTTAATCGATTCTTCCAAGTCGCTCTCCGGGACAGACTCGTTCGAATGGCGAAGATCTTCGAGGTTATACTCGGAACGAGTCCCGTTTTCGACGGCAGCCGGCAGGGCTTCCTCTCGCGTGAGATTGAAGGCACTCACCAGTTCTCCGCTCGTTTGCTTATTCTTGTTCAGTGCCGAGAGGATCCGGAAGATCTCTTGACTCGTCTCCCCTAGAGTTCCATTTCTGTCATCGAACCTCAAGAAACGAAAGCATTTATAACTATTGAGTGATTGAAGTAAATTAAACGAAACCCTAGGAGAGATATGTCGAAATGAGGTCTCATATCAATACGATTCTGTTCTAGGACATGTTTGCAAACACGCAATGTTAAAAAAAGCATGGAAAAGAAATGTTCGTAGTTTATCTCCCGTCACCATAAATTCTAAACAAAGGATCTAAAGCTATGGATAGCTAAACATAGAAGTACCAGGCATAGTGATTTTTCTCTCACCCTCCCCCTCCATCTCTCGCATTTAAAACAACTCACAAACAACGCATTCAACAAAATCTACCACAGAATTTATGACCCTGGATTTCTTCGGATTTCAAATGATGGAAATTCGAAGATACCTGCCACTGAGGATCTTCATGAGTCGGGAAAAATGGTCATCCTTCTCTTTCTGGGCCGAGCCGACACCCACATGGGTGTCTTTATGACCACTCTCGAGTGAAGAATCATCTTGCATGGAATCCTCTTCGCCGATTATGGCGCAATAGCGAAGGTTCGGCGTGTCTTTGATCACCAACAGGAGCCCTCCGGGCCACCTGGCAACGGATCACGGTCGTCATTTGGGGTTTGTCGGTCTCAGTTGAAGGTCAATAGTTCCTTTGATATATTTTCCTTCAATTACTTAGATTAGGTAATGATTACATGTAATTAGGTGCATGTTTATTCATTTGGAGAAAATGAGGAAAACGAGAAAGTCCCACGTATAATGGCAATAACAATGACAGCATATCAACATATTGTTAAATTTTTCGAACGGACCATCTTGAAATCTCCCTTATATTGAAGGGTGGGCATAATCAAATCATGCTTCTATAAACCGTTTAAACGTAAATTCTTTCATCTGACTTGGTTCCTGCGCGGAAAGTCAAAGCAATCCGACCTGATTCGAAAAGAAGCGATGCAATTTTTGGTTTTACTATGGTGACTTGGAAATTACCAATCGCATCCTAAAAGGGCAGGAAGTTGGAAAACTTCGTAAGAGAAGTAACAAGCGCATTTTGCTTAGTTGGCATAGGTACGATACCTCCAAAATATGATACAAGTAATTTATTTTGCTCGTGTCAATGATGTCAATATTCAATTATTTGTGACCTGAACGACTTGGCTGCATCTCTTTCTACGAGAAAAGTTTGTTTTCTTCTTTTTTCGTATAAAAGGCTAGTGATTTACAGACCACAATGATTTTATATACGGTTATGCATCGCCGGAACTTGGCAGAAAAAAGACGCTAAAATTAAACTAAGTCCTTCAACGGGTAGAAAAATCGGCAACATTTCCCGAAACTCACCTCGCGCAAGCGCGAACAGTCAATCGGCTGCCGGCGAGGAGATAGAACCCCCAATAGCGCCTCACGTCGTCGCCGATGGCGATCTGCTTCCTCAGCCTCATGGGGACGGGGTCGTCTTTCCTCTTCGGCTCCCCGTGGATGAGGGCGGCGCTGAAGCTCGCATTCATCTCCAGGTGCTGACCCTTTTTTATATCAACAGGAAAGGTTTCGCTGTTTGCAATGTTGGAAGGAAATCCGAGCACGGTATGGCTATGCGAGGCTTTCTCGCTTGCATGGGAAGAAATTGGATCCTGGTATTTGATTTGTGACTGATGCTATTTCCGGGTCATGGAGTCTGAAACGAGTGCAGAGACCTTTTGAACCTTCCTAGAGACGCACGTATTAAGCGATATGATTTCGAATACTGCAAAGGAAATTCTGTACCAAACTGATAAAACAGGAGTTGAGGTAAGCAAGAGCAAAAGACCTATCTTTCTTCTCAATTTCCTTACGATACCCAACGGCTTACAGTAAACGCGCTATCAAACGTCCAGTATTTCCTGTTTGAAGCTGATTTCAAAGAGAAAGTTCAGTTGCAGTTCGGTTCTAGTCCAGATTTGGATCTGACTAAAGTTTAATTGTGATTCAAATTCACCGTAGCGAGAGCAATTAGCACCAAGCTAAGCCATCTGTTTTCGTCAGAGAGAAAAAGAAAGACCCGCAAAGAGTGACTCTTTCCTCCCTCCCGCAGGAAAAAAAAATAGAAGGAAAATACTGAATCCTCTCTTAAATATTCTTATCGATAAAACTTAGAACAACCAGTGCGCAAGAACAAAAGGCGACGCAGAGAAAAAGAGCATCCCCACCTGGCACCAGACAGTGGAAACGTGCTGGTCGAGGAGCCTCATGTCAGACGGGACCAAGTAGTGCAGGGTGCGCTTGAACTCGTTGAACCTCTTGTACAAGGGGAGGACGACGAGCACGATCGGCAGCACGGCGCCCAATATTACGAATCGGAGGACTTTCCAATGCCCTCGCCCTGTCGGCCGTCTCACTGTAGACAGAAATAATTTGAGTGATTTCATGGGTGGGGCGAAGGTGGACCGAGTCAAGTTTGAGGGAAAATTCATTGGCGAGTTTTTATTTCAGACTAATGGTAAGAACTTTCATTTTTTACCCTTTCGTGGCGATATAGCTCAATGTCGGTCAACTCTTCAGGTTGGACCCGAAATTTTCATTTGATATTAGGAGGTAATTAAAACTTCACACCTCATGATACGTGTTCCGTTACGGGATTAAGTTAATTTTTCAAGGTTGAAAGGCAGATTCCTTGGTATTAATAAAAAAAATCTGGTGTTTCCAGCTCCGAGCAAAAGTTTTCCCTAGACATTATCAGATAGTATCACGACATGCGGGTCGTAGAGGTCTATTTCCCTTCATCCAACATCATCAAATATTACTTAAGAGCATTACAGCAAATTTGTGCGATTCTGGAGATGAAAACACAGGATTCTTTCCCCAGCGAACATCAACACCCCGGAAGTGGAGAGAAGCACTTTAGGATCATTATCCTCTCGCCTTAGAAGAAGAACAACCTGTCAATGCGGATAGGAAAAGGAGGGTCCTTATCCAGCATTATCCTCATCCTTATCCTTATCCTTATACGTGCTACGAGGTCGAATTTCTTCTCTTAATCTCAGGGGAGGTCATCGATTGCGAACAACGACCACGCTTGGAATGAATGGGGGGAAATTGAAATATGAGGAGGAATTTCAAGGCAGATAACGAAATCTTTAAAACAAGGAAATTTCCCTTTTTTACATTCATTGTGATGATATTACCAGGATAATTACGAATCATTTTTGGTAATATTCGTCGTGATACGCGATCAAAGATTTCATAAAAACTAATGCAAACATTTTAAAATGAGGAATGGTTGTAACTCGTTCAGGATAAGAGGTTTTAGAAGAGCAAGCGAAGAAGTCCCAAAAGTAAACAAGGAAAGCGTCCCCCACGAAAAACCTGTCTTCAACAAAACCAGTCATCGCACACGAAAAAAGTGAAGAAGAAAAAATACTTGGAGCGAAATGGGACGAAAACGGCATGTCGAAGCAGCATATCACGCGATCCCCGGGCTCACACACTGACGGAATGGAGAAGCCCTGCACCGCATCGCGGGTTCCAACGAGGACTGAGAAGGGGGAGAACGGCACGTGCGAAAAGGCGTTTGGCGGCTCGCCATCGATCTCGACGTAGCCTGAAGATTTGCCAGCGACCTGTCTTGACCTCTTCCACGATGTCGTTGCTGTTACTAGGGGACTATTCAGACCTGACAGAAGCAGGGGCGGACCCAGGGAAGGGGGGGGGGGGGCAGTAGGAAGTAGTGAAACATGAAAATTTTCTTTATCCACCTTTGGACAGAAGCCTCATTTAAACTTCATTGGGAAAAAAAATTTCACGGTGCCTTTTTAACATTTAATGATTGTGATCGAAGGGGTTTGTTCTGGCACGAGAATCTCAACTCTCTCTGCTTTCTCTGCTCGTGGCTACAGGTGCCTGCTACGGACTTATTTAACTATGTACGAGTTGTTGCAAACGGTTGAACCATTGCTGTTAAAAAATATCAGAGGTTTTGTTAAAAGGATAAAATTGATAACTAAAAAGATATTCCCCCCATTAACTCTGAAACATGCAACGAACAGATTTTTTTACATGCCCGAATGGGACATGAGAAATTAAAGATATGATTGATCTATGACACGTACCTATTTTCATCGATGGATTAGAGAAAGAGACAAAGGCTGAAGGTCAGATAATTCAGAATGGGCACATGTGCGAAACCCGTAACAAGACACGATATTCACGAGTCCAGATGAAATCTGCGACGAGGACAAGCAGAAGAAAAGCGGCAGTCGAGCGCAGCAGAGATTGAGTTTGCGGCATTATCGATTACCCAAATCGGTGAACTTGAGCGAGTCATCAATCGCGACCAGGTATTTTCGCGCCTCTGGCGATGGTGATGGATCACCCACGACAGAACGACTTTCATTTCGTGTGATTCCACCGAAAACCTCACCCCAGATAAAACAATAGAAAAATGACAAGGTTAACGAAACGTCACCGCAGAAACAATCGGGGAGACCGGATAGCTCCGTCGAAGCGTATTCAACGGAGACCCGATAACTCCCTGAAGTACGTCCCAACCCAGCTCATGAAGCCTAAGCATGAAACCTAAGCATGAAGCCTAAGCAGGACAGAGCTTTCGTGAATGGTCGGGGTGGGGGGTATCTAAGCGGCGTCCGCTTCGCATGCGAATCCCATCGGTCATGTTGTGATTGCGGCAAAGGCCCAAAGACACGATAAACATGGACACTATCGTACAGATGGAAGGGATGATGCAAGGCGTTGGACCTTAGCACGACGAATGCCAAGCACAACGAGGAAAAGGAGTGGCAATGCGTCAGCTGACTCCCGAGAGCCCTCCATCATCATCCACGCAGTCGGACGTGACCTGCTGCGTGCATCCTCGCTCCCTTTCTGGGCGTTGGCGCTCAAGGAACTTCGATTTCCGATCGACTGAACTGGTCGGTCGTTTGGGGCAGGCGATGCTCATGCCGATAAAGTATTCAATAAACGTGCTTGGATCAAAATGCTGCTAAATTTTTATTTTGCCGAGTTTCCCGTTCGAATCTCAAGTACAGAATTGCAGTGAACCCTCGGTATACCGCCACTCTCGCTTATCGCCGACTCTTTCCTGGGGACAAATATTTTACAAAAGCTTATTATGATAGGCGATCCCTCGTCATAGCGCCACCCTCGCAAGCCGCCATCCGCCGACACCATCATCAAACGTGTTTTTTTCCCACATAAATCTTCCTTGATTTTGCGCAAGTAGCATACGTGCCGCAAGCCTTATCCAGTGATTAACACAGATACACATGTTGCCACCGTGAGAGCTGACTCAGCCGTGGGATCGTGCATAGGACATGGCAATATTGATTTGGTCAATTTTCCCTAAGAAGATTTCTATATCGCAGCCACTACAGCGGTTCATTCGATATAGCACTACGCGTTATACCGTCAAAATCGGCGACGATCAACAGTGGCGTTATTTCGAGGGATCAACGTAATTATGAAATTTCAGGAGTGAAGTACATGAGGTAAATTGAGCAGAAGCGTGTCAATGGGCTCAATGTCAATGGGATCAATGTCAATGGAGATGCCAATGCCACTTTGTCCACCGAAAGTCGAAGCGCTGGGAAAAGTTTTTGGATCTCTTTCTGATTCTCATTCCGAAGCATTCCATTCTAAAGCAGGGAACAGATGCGTTTTGTTGCTAAACTATTCAAATTTCCTTGATGGAAAACTATTCGATAAAAAAAAAGTGAGGCTGCACGACTTCTTTCTCCGACAGCATGACACAGCAGAATGTGAGTCTCTCATTCATGCCACAAATCAGAGAGTCGCATTATCACATACCTGATCGAAGCCATTCATTATGACACCGAAGCGGTTTCTCCCCTCCCCCTCCCCCCCAATTACGATGGATACATCGGCTCACATGCCTTATGAAAGGCTTGGCCCAAGCGCCTGGGCCTCTCGTGCGCTCCCCCCAACGGGCGAGCGAATCACGAGGAGACGACAGAGACAACTACAGAGAGCGCCAGTTGCCTAAGTCATCTCTTCGCTCTTCATTTATGGGAAAGGAACCTTTTTGAGATACATACTGGATAAGTTTATTCACTTCTTAACCATTTATTCCCAACGCTAGTATTTTTTTTTATCACCTAATGTCACTAAGGAATACGGCGAAGAATTCCCTTAAGAGCTAATTTTGCGTCAGGAACTTATTCCCAAATCGTATTAGTGCCAACCGTAATTATTTCTCCTCGAACACATAAATTAATTTCAGGGAACCTTTTTCTGTAACAAAAAAAATCCCCGCATGCTTGCCCAAGTTCCTGAAAAAATTTTCCACGAATTTTCAGGGAAATCTAGAAGAGTCACAAACTTATACTCCCGAACCAAATACGTTCCACCTGATCCATCAGTCCGGAAACATTTCATGAAAAAAAAAAAGACTTCTTACAAAGCAAGTTCGACTCTTGAATCCCTCCATAGAGAAGCAAGGAGTGTATCGATGCCATTCGAAATGGCCTCCAACGGGATGTGTTCTTTCAGAATAACAATCGAGTTCTCTTAAGAGACAAAAGCCCTTTGTATTCCCAGGCGGTCTCCCATCCAACCGAGCCCGACGCTGTTAAGCGTCGGAGCGATCGGACGTGTTTGATACTGTCGCGGTGCGGCCGCTGACGAGGGACGTGGCGGGCTGACGGGGCTTGCATGCATGGTCTCACGCTTGATCTCGGGCGGGCAGTGACCTCGTTCCGGGGTGGCTCGAGAGAGATGGATTTTCTTCTCACTTGGTTTATTGAGATTTTCTTTTTGATAAATGGGCGCGCAGGCCCGTCTCTTCGTGAACCGAAGATTGATACTTACCAGGTGAAACGGATTGAGGACTTCTTGGAACAGGTCCCGAAGTGAGGAATCACAATTCCATCTTCGGCGAGTAAATTCTGACGGATTCTCGCGATTTTCTTTTCGTTCCCCATTTCCATTTAGAAATCGTGTGAGGATCCTAATCACGCTTCCTACGCACTGATTCGTGGGCTGTCGGCAAGTGGAATGAGTCGAAAGAGGAACGAAAAAAGAAAGCCAGTATAACTCCGCGCTTCCACAAGGTCTCCCATCCAAATACAAACCGTGCCAGACGCCGCTTAACCCCGATGAACGGACGAAAGCCGCTGATGCCCTTTCGTTTCTCATTCGGAAAGATTCGCGTGTGCGAGAAATCGACAACGGTCGCAGCAGGCACGTCCTCTATTCTCAACACCTTTTCCAGGAAGTGTATGCTCAAATACTGGCTTGTCACCTGAGGGAAAGAAGTCACCTTCAAAACACGAAAAATTATCCGAACAAAGAGGATCATTACGCTCAATCCGTCGTGCTCTGCAAGCGATCCTACGACAGCTAATCGGCTAATCCACGGCTAATCTTGCACGAGAAGCGACGATAAATAGAAGGAACATTGCATGCCGACACGTGGAAATCGCCGACGGGAATCTCGAATTTTTTCTGCATCAGGTTCGAAATGCATGATTCAAAATGCAGCAGACCGGAAATCCGCGAAAGGATTAATCTCAAATCTTTCGGAATACTTTGAGTTGTTAAGGCGCTCGTGCAAACCGGCGTTCAATGAATAAATTAAAAATTGACGGAGATTCTAAAATCGGAAAAAAAGGGCTGCATTAACGAATGAAGTAAAAAATTATGAAATTAGAGGAATTTTAAAACGTGAGGATGGCAGACTTCATGCAAATACTCTCATCGCTGATTCTCCTGGATAGATTCCAAAAGTTTCCTAATTTTTTTTTTCCAGACCGGTCGGTCCAATGGTCGGTTCAAGCCGACCGTTGAACAGTCGGTACAGAACAGTATCAACAAATATGCGATACACACTGCAGCTAAAAGTCAACATGGCTCTGATGATTTCGCGTTAGCAATAAAAGATATCAAGATAATTAGTAACTTTCATTTTATATCTTCCAATTTACACCGTTAATGCTGCTTAAAAAGCCAAACATTTATTCATGAATGGGATATACAGGGTGATTATAAGGAAAATTTACATTTTAGAGGCACAATATCTCTGACATGCATGGACATGGAACGGTGGCGCCACACGTGGTTGGTACAGAGACCATGAGGAATCAAATGCGACGATTGTCACTTGTTGTTCGGGGGCGTCGCCAGTTTGATCACAGTTGCTTAACATGCGCACCACCGATTTCCAGAATTCCTCTCATACGTGTGATGACGGCCATGACGGTCAGCCAAACGCATCTCATCCGGTTATTTTTGGTTATTGGAGTACCTGAAATCACGCGTGTACCGAGGTAATCCTCAGACAATTCCAGAGCTGAAGGACACAATTGTGCGGGAAGCGGTCGTCATACCGGATGAGATGCGTTTGGCTAGTCGTCATGGCCGTCATGACCGTCACGGCCGTCGTCATACGTATGAGAGGCATTCTGAAAATCGGCGGTACGCATATTGAGCAATCGTGATCACGCTGGCGACGCCCCTGAACATGTGGCAATGGTCGCATTCGATTCCCCTGTACCTGTACCAACCACGAGTGGCGCCACCATTCCGTGTCGATACATTTCAGAAATATTATGCCTAAAAAATAAAGCTTAATAATCACCATGTAGTTTGCCGACATTTGATGGTTCATCGATTAAACAGTCAAAATGAGAGAATAAATCTGAGGCACTCAGCAGGAACGAATCTCGGCTACGCCGAGGGACATCACGAACCCGCAATGACCCTCGGAACCACCGATTAATGGAATCAGACAATGAAGATTGCTCTGCCCCCTCTCCACCCCCCCTCTGGCCCCTCTCCGGCCCCTCCACCGATGGACCAGTTGCGCGGCAGCCCGGAACGCGCCCCATCCCCCCCCCCCCCCCCCCAATCCCCACATTCACGACCCTTCGAACCCATCCTTGAGCGGCAAACGCCCGGCCGTGGGCGATGGACCCCCTGCGTAGAATCCTGCATCTAAAAGCTCACAAGCCTCGAAAACCTGCCACTTTCGCAACACTGCCATCATATTGCGTCTAACGGGCTGCGATCGCCTGGCAATATCCCCTCCACGATCGACATCGAAAAAAGGGAGCCGAAAAGAGACAGTGTCAAATTGTTAACTGAAAGCAAAACTTACATTATACTGTAGATAATTTTTTTAATTTTCCTTATTATTATTAAAATTAAAATTAGAATCCCAGCGGCATAACATGGTGAATTTAGTCACAGTACCGCGCTAGAAAACAATTTCAGTCAGGGTCACGACCCGTCAAAAGACAAAAAAAAACTCACTGCCAGGGAAGTAGATCCGCGTCCCGACGGGATAATAACTGAAAACAGACGAATCGGTGCTGTAGGTCCTCGTCCGTTTCTTGAATCGCATCAGCATCTCCCTTGCCCCGGTACCGGCCCCGGTACTGGCCCCGGTACCGGCATGCGACCGACCCTCGTGCTCCGCGTCTTCCATGGCCGGGGCGAGGAAGCTCAAGTGACTGTCGTCACCTGAGAGCAAGCGACTGTCGTCACCCGAGAGCAAGTGACGGTCGTCGATCGAGAGAGAGGTCGACCGTCGTTTGTTGCGACGGTGCGGCGCCTCGGGTCTGCCGTGGGAGAAATTTATGGGGGAAGTACTCGAATCGCCCAGGATGCCCATGTCGTTCCTCACGATTTCTTCACCGAGAAGTTCTTGATTCGACTGACGCCGGGAGAAAACGTGGGTGCGTTTCACGTCGTACCTGACGAACTTTCGAGAACGTGCGTGCGATTCCGACGCTTTTTTAACAATGCATGGGTGGGGCTTCTGGGGGGCGTGAATGGACCAGGAAGTACCCGTCGACCTCGCATGACGACGGAATTTTTTGTCTGTGTTGCAATCGTGTGACTTCAACGCGTTTAAGTTCAGCGATCATTTAGATTTTTATGATAAAATTCCATTCTGCATTTCGACGCGACTCGATCGCCCTTTTCGGTTCACGAATGAATCCATAAAAATCTGCCTCGGTCGAAAAAGGCGAACGCGACGGCATCGAAGCGTGACCGATCCGATTGCGCATAAATTAAAAGGGATAATTAATAGAGAACGGGGGGGAGTCAATGCATGCCCCCTAATGAAGCACCTGGAACCCATACTTGAGTGCCTCAAGACCATCTCTCACCGCCGATGACTTTCGGTCGATACGCTTCACCAACAGCGAGTTAATACCATCTCATGCATGGGATGAGGCAATCCCTTAATGATAATTAATGAGTGCCAACGACCCATCCCGCAGTCGATCGTCGGTCGATCACCCGAGGAAACTCGATCGACCCGGAACCGCCCCTCGTCACAATAGTCGGGACGAGGGAAAGCAATGGAACGTTTCCCAATTCGCGGAAAAGCGTCCCTCGCGACATCTATCCACCCACGCATCAACTGCGCCTCGAGGGAGTCTCAGACGAAAGAAAGAAAACGGACCTCGCGCTAATCACCAGCGACGCGGCGTCCATTTCTCACGACGCATGATAATGCAATGACGCCTTCCCCTTGAGTTATGATCGTCGCAGGCTCGTCGCTTCCGAGCCCCTTCCTCTGCTGCTGTTCTATCCGACGGCATTGAAAAGGTCCGGGTAGATTCAGTCTTCCGAGCGTGAAAACTGGTTTAGTTGTTTTTTGTGAAAAAGGGTCGCTGCTGCGAAGCCTCCTCTCCCAAAACCTTCTTCAATGCCTTTTTCTTAAAATCTATTTTAAAATAAATAAATAAATAAATAAATATATATATATATATATATATAGATCGATGTTTCAAAGCCAATAAAATTGGCACACTTGATGGCATGTGCAGAGGGACTTCAGCTGGGTTTGTCCCTGGAATGGGTAGTACTTCCAAGTTCTTTCTAATACTCCTGGCACGCTAGGATGACCGCAGAAACAGGTTATAACAGCTGAAAAAAAAAAATATATATATATATATATATATATATATATGAAGAGTCATGATAAGTATCTGCTCGGCCCTCTTTCGAAATCGGAAGAACCGTAGTTTTTAAGCGTTCCGGGAAGTTATTTAAGTTAAAAAATGTAACTCATCGTGTACCAGGTCCGGACGAAGCGAAGACGAAGAGACCTGAAGCTAATGCACCATAGAGGAATCTCTCTTTCGAAATGAAAAATACGTTCAGAGTTTCTCGTGATGTTACTTACTGCACAACAGGAAGGACAGGTCACACGGTATTGTCCGGAATAAAGTTGGAGTAATACCGTGACGAGTTTCGTCGCTCATCGTCCGATGGCAATTTCGCTTGGGATGCTTAAGAACCAGTGCTTCTGCTTTACAAGCTTGAGACGAAGCACCGAGGTCTTCAGATGGCATCGGTCCCCCAAGCACGAGAGTCGTTTCTCCGGTGGAAACGATCGAGGCAGATCGAGTTTTGGAATGCATTCCGTGAGGACGCTTTCCCCGTTAAAACTCAGCCAACAACTGAAATTCCGAACACCAGAGAGGAGTCTAATGAAAGGGGCAGACTTGATGGCTCTCACAAATAAAGACTTATTACGTGGTATCAAATACGGCAATATATGCGTTCTTCATTTAATACTATTTATTTACTTATTTAATATAACGCAAAAATGTCTACACATGTCCATATCATGCTTCGGCCATATGAAGTCCCTTAATTTTTTTTCAGCCAAGTTGCTGCATACATAGTCAAATATATACAAATTAATCATATACAGTACATATTACAACATTCGGTAGTTCGGTAAGGGTTGGCTATGCCAAGCGTGTAATAGAAGTAATGAGTGACTTCAATCCGATCGCCTCAGACTCAGTCGTTCTTACGATTATCTCGACCGTGTAGAAAAGCGCAAGACCGAAATCCCATTTGACTCGAGGCACCGAGTCTCTGGAGCCTCTGCCGCAAACTCAGAGAACCGTTTCACAGCCTTGCAGGGCGGTCGCTCGGGAGAGATTGAGATTCAACCGCAGTTGTTTCAGCAGGTCAGGTTCCAACCACCTTCGTCCTCCGATATTCCAGACGAACGGATTCTGGAAGAGGAAAAACATGTCTCCTCGAAACAACTAGGCCACCACGATGAAATTTACGCAGCAGGCGCCGAGAGCCCTCTATCCCTGGAGGTTAGCACTGAGACAACGTCATGGCGGCTCCCTGATTGGCCCAGCGCGTCTGCCTGGGCTATAATGCTGCCTGGCTACTCTCGTTTTGATGCTGCACAATGTAACCGTAAACTCTAAAACTTCTGGAGCACTGGATCTGCCAAGGAGATCTCCATGATGTACCTGCTATTCCCATTCGTGTGCGCGATTGCGGCCTTGACCTTGGGCCCACATGCTTTCGGCCATGAACTTCATGTCAAAAGTCATGAGGTTTTCATTCAACCATTGAATGCACTCTTCCAGAATGAAACAGGTAACATGTCTAGACCAAAGCATAGATAGGGCTGAGAGAATTCCTATCATATTCAATGTATTTAACTTACGATCTGGGGTAATTATTGGGTAGCCTTATGATAAGCTTAGGCCTTACTTTCACTAAAGACTGAGGCCTAACTTCGGCTTAGCAAAAAATACGGCATTATATATAGCTATTTAATCAGTAAGTTATTCTCTAGACCTAGCTTAAAATTAACATTTAATCATTGATTAATATTGTGCCAGCAGCATGAATTGATGTGTATTGCCTGTCTTTGAAGGCCCATCACAAGTGGAGTACAAGTATCGGGCTTCCCTCTCTGGTTCTCCGGTTCTTCCAGTTTGGCTCCATTATAAATTCAGTGAAAGATACAAGACTGGATTTCTCTTGGGCTCTGTGCCATTTGAAGGGATTACAGAGGTGAGTCTTTGTCCTGATTAGTTAGACCCAGAATCATAATTCAGCCAAAAAAGTAGTTCTTGCCCCTGATTGTAAGCCATCCACAGCAACTTAAAACACAACCCATATGTTGGAAACAATTGGATGAATCATACAGTGAGATCAGAATAGCATTGCATTCCAATCAAAGCCAAAAATCCAAAAAGAGAATGCATTTTCTCATGAAAGTCTCCTGGTAGACCTGGCATCTTGTTTGTGTTAGTCACCCTGTGTATACAGTTTACACGGGCAACCTAAGAAAACATGCACTAATCCAGAAACCATCTCATCCACAAATTTATGCAGGTGGATGTTGTGATGGTGAAAGTTGACACCTATGAGGTGGAGCAGTTCTCTGTGAACATCACTTCCAGTGAAAGAGAAGGTAAGGATACTTGGCACTGGACTTAGTTACACCACAGAGCTTTTCTGAAATAATTTTATGAGATGAAGGGAGTTAAAATGATGAAGATATGGTCCCCATCCTTTTACTCAGGTGGTCCAGGACAGAATCAAGTGGAGCTGGTGTTGGACAATTTGGATTTAGAGGATTTCTTCAATCAAAGGAGGATTGCCAAGTTGAAGGGAATCTTTTCTGACACTCTCTGGCCAGAGAGTTCATCTGATCTTCATATGTCACTCCTCCTCCCAGCAAAAAGACCTGCATCAAACCCCAAGGAGAAACGAGGGTGTGTGGAATACAGAATATTAATTTTTTCCTTTTAGACCTACAATGGAAGGAGTTGGCTATGAACTGATATTTGTTTCTCTCAGGGTTCGTTTGAGGCTTGCAAGCCATGCCCCATTTTCAGAGAAGCTAATAAATCTGGGGAAGGAAGTGGAACCTCTGTACAAGCACAGACCCTGTCCTCGAAACTTCAAGCGCTCAACAGCTGAGAGATTCTTCAGGGACCAGAACTTTGCTGTTGATTGGTGCAGTTTTGAACTAGTGAGTTTCACCTACTTTCCTGAATTTTCCTACTTTTGACATTTCTGACAACTTGTGCATTTTCCAGCTCTCTGGTGATCCTTCTAAATCAGCATGGAATGTATATGAAGAAGAAGAGTACAGAACTCCCAAGAAACGCCACCATCCCTTACTCCCCAGACCTCCATACAAGCCTGTCAGTCGATCAGAGGTTCCCATCAGAGACTACCTTGGAGATGCTGTTTTCACTGTCATGATCCCACTTGTTGTCATGGTTGCCCTTGTCTTCATTCTCACACTCATCATGTGTGTCCAGTGGAAAAAGTATGAACCCCTTTCAATTATAATAAGGCCAATGATGGTAGTAAAAAATGTTTCTATTTGGAAGTACAACTTGGAAAGATGACTCTATTGCTTGTAAAGAGGTTTCATCATTACCTTTCACCTGAAATAATGTTTGTGATTGAGAGACAACCAATGAATGTTTGTTTCACAACCTTTTCTTAATATTACCATCAGCCTGTTATTCCCCCAATGGCAAAAATCAATGAAAATTTTCAAGTTTGCTTTTGGGATGCTTTCCACCAAAGAGTATCAAGCAGTGTAGCATTAGCCAAGAGACTATCAAAGAGTGAAGCCATATTGTTAGAGGTAGTCAATGACACATTACTGTATTGTGTCTCTTTACATGGTAGGAAGGATGAGAAGGAGAATATCTCAGACATTCAGATGATGCACTACCAGGCAGTGAGACGGGCATCAGATTCGTTGCGATCCCTGTCCAGGCGTAGAGACAGAGATAGCATGTTGGGTCCCCCATCACGTGAGGGTTCATCACCCCCACACTCCATCTCCATCCGTTCTCATACCAATTCCCCTGCTTCCACCATCACACGCAATGCCACCCCTTGGTATGACAATTATGCTACATCCCATGCAATGATTCACCTTCAAATTCCACTGCTTTGTAGTTCAACAGTGATTTCTATGTTTGGAAAGTACTTCTTTAAAATGTTAAACTTAAATTGCAAATATTTTTACATTTTCATGATTCCAATATAAAGTGTTCAATTTTTAAAGAAAGTCAGAAAATGCCTCTGGTAGTATCAATTCAGAAGTTAGGGTGATTGCATGTCATCTAGATGGCATTTCTGAATGAAAGGGAATGAGGAACCACAAGGGGTAGTAAGTCCTTGTGACCAACCATATTACTGAATTTTTTTAATTTTGTTTTATTTGAAATCGTTGATTTCAAGTATGGACTGCCTCAATGGATTGGATAATTAAAAGATAACACATGGATAGAATCAACCTATTGTTTGACCATTGAATTAAAATTTTCAATTATTTGAGGCATGGTATAACTGGATGATTTATTTTTATGCTTGTAGCCGTCGTTCGGAGGAACGGTCTTCCAGCTACTCCCAGGGTCCTTACCCCATCTGCGCACAAACCAAGTGAGCCACCTTTCTGCTCCTCAGAAGTGTTGCACATAAGTATGAAAGTTACTACAACTTTAATTATGTTTACTTCTTTTCATCCCCACAGTGGTCAGCCTGTGAAAGCCTATCATGTGTGAAGTCAAGAGAAGCAACATGGAGTTATGTGCAATATGATTAGGCTTGCTGAAAGTTCTAGTCACTAAGGAAAGTTATCTAGTCATTTGGCTGTGCTTACTAAATGTTTGTGATTCATCTTGCTTGAAGTGGAAATGATATTGTAATCTTTTCCAAGTCTGTCCCAGTTTAATAAACCATTTGATGTTCACCAACATGGCTCTTGTTTGGAGGGTTATTTTTGAAAACTCCCTTGAAGAGTACATGAGCAATCCTTGGCTAGGCTGCTGCCTAGTTGGAGTCTTGAGCCCTACTTTCCCTTTGTTACTGCTTAAAAAGTTAAAATTCCTTCACTTTGCAAAGTTCCCTAATATATGCCTGTATTGGTATAGCAAAAACAACATGAGCAATATCTATATTCAGGAGCCTCCCACTAGTGGTAAGGTGAGCAAAAACCCAGTATCAAAAGATCTCTGTCCCCAGCCTTGGAAAATGATGCAAAAAGAAAATGTGCTTCTGTTACTCAGGTCTTGCTGAAGACCACTGTAGGGGACATTGATGTGGAGTTGTGGTCCAAGGAAACGCCCAAGGCATGTCGCAACTTCATCCAGCTGTGTATGGAAGGCTACTACGATGGGACTATCTTTCATCGAGTGGTCAAGGATTTCATTGTCCAAGGAGGGGATCCCACTGGCACAGGAAAGGGTGGAGAATCCATCTATGGGAAACCCTTCAAGGTCAGGCCCCAAAGATAGAGGAAGAATTGACATGCAAAGTAAACCAATGATGGGTGATAATTAACTAGTTAGTAGTTGTCCTAAATAGAAAGCAAATTATTTTTCCAACATTCCTCCTCCTGCTGTTGCAAAACCTTCTGGCTAATATACCATCCTGGGACCATTCTAATAGTTGTGGATTTATTCCATGACTCAATGCTTAAGGATCATCAGCCACCAAAATGTAATATGTCCTTACTATTGCCCATGTTGCTGTATTCATATCTTTGGCAGGATGAAATCCATACCCGGTTGAGGTTTGTCAGGAGGGGTCTGGTGGCTATGGCCAATGGTGGGAAGGACGATAATGGTTCCCAGTTTTTCTTCACCCTGGGACCCTGTCCTGAGCTCCAGAAAAAGCACACCTTATTTGGGAAGGTGACTGGGGACACCATCTACAACATGATCAAGCTGGAGGAAGTTGACATTGATAGAGTGGGTTTTGCACATGATTGATTTTGGATTGAAAGGACATGCACTGGAGTTCATTTGTTGAATGGTTCTATAGGATGATAGGCCAGTTCACCCTCACAAGATAATTCGGACAGAGATCCTCAATAATCCTTTCCCTGACATTGTTCCACGGACGACAAAGGAGAAGAGGAAGCATGGATCTGAGGAAGAGGAAGGCTCCGATGATGAGAAGCCAAAGAAGAGAAATAAGAAAAAAGGGACCAAGTGAGGGAATGAAGATACATGTGGTACTTCTTTGCTGTGAGAGTTGTGTGAGCATGGTTTATACTTGCAGGAACTTCAAACTTCTCTCATTTGGAGATGAGGCAGAGGAGGATGAAGAAGAGAGCGTTGCTGTTTCAAAGAAGTTGGCTTTAAAGTCAAAATCCAGTCATGACCTCACAAATGACCCCAAGCTTAGCTCTGTGCCAGCGGTGGATGTCCCATCTAAGAGAGGACCCTCAGAGGAACTCCAATCCAGTGAGGAAGATGATGAACCTCTTCCCACAGAACAGGACAGGTATAGGAAAATGTCCCTTCACCTTTTGGTGTTATACATCCAGTGGATGATATTGGAAGGATGGGGACTTTGCAGTCTTTTGATGTGGGAGGTGTCAATACATATGAGCAATTTTATTGCTCTGAAACAATATTTGAATGCAGGTCAGCACCATGTCAGAGCAAGGCAAAACTCAGCTAAAATTTAACTCTGTTCAAAAGGGAAATCTCTTGAAATTCCCATTCAAAGGAAGCATTCTTTGTATTTACCATCAAGCATCTTTGTCCAACTCCACATCTTGTATAATCTGCTCATGGATCACATGATGATAAATAGTGGCAGAAGGCCAGTGTCACCAGGACTATTGCAACCAGCATTTGCAAAGTTGGACCTATGCTCATTTTGCATTACTAGTTGTATTCTTCATGCATCCATCATGTGTTCTCATTGTTTTGTTTCTCATGTCCAACATGTATTCTCACATCAAAGACATCAGACACTGGCTAATCAGATATGTAGGAGATATTAAAGATCAGGCTTATACCTACCACCCAAAGAAAATATTCCTGTCAAAGTCCAACTCTGTTCACTTAGGCACAGCATAAAAATTGCAATAATTGAGAAAGGATTTGGCGATGATGTTGCAATTAGTAACAGCAACAGCTTTTACCCATTACCTAAAAACTACTTCTTCACAGTTTCCTGTAATAACTGTTCCAATAAAGGGTGATGGCATGCAAAATCCTACCCTCCTCTTCTAACACTTCAACCATGCATGATATACCTGATTGATTATCAAAAGATAGATCAAAAGAGCTGCTGGTCAATTAATTATGCAATGGTTGGGCATTACCTTCATTGAGAACGATAATGTGACAGAGTCTGAAACTTATCTGATCTTGCTTTAGTGGAATGTTAGATCGAGTGAGGAAGAAGCTAAAGGGAGAGCCCAAAGAAGAACCTCTGAGCACTTTCATGTCAGAGCGGACAGCTGAACGAGACCAGAGCCTGTGAGAACTCGAACCCTTTACCTACCTGGATTTTTGTTTCTTATTGCTTAGCACAGCTGTCTCCCTTTGGGTGTAGAAAGAAGCTGAAGGCTGAAGTTCGACAACTGAAGAAGGAACTGAAAATGGTCAAGGATGACACTGTGGAATCCACCGTGGACACTGCTGAAGGGCAAGATGAGATGTCAAAGGACTCAGACATCCTGGTAGCTTACAAGAAAGACCTGGCCCGATTTGAGAACAAGAGGACTAAAGAACTCAAGAAGGGTTTGTTGTTGCTATATTAACCATGCCCCTACAAATAATGTGAAGCCCCACTTTTTATATTTCATGATTTTTGGAAACTTGACAGACTTGCAGGACCATAATTCTTGTTGTCTTTTCCTTTTTTTTCTTTCTTTCTTCTCTTTCCTCCTCCTTTCCTATTTTCCTTTCCTACTTGCTACTCTGCCTCTTAACCCTTCCGTCATAAATTTTTTTCTTATCTCTTTGCTAATACAGCCATAATTAATCACCATCTTCTCTTGATAGTGTTTCTTAAATGAATCTATGGGTGTAGTATTTGTATATTGATTCAAGACCATTTATTACCATGTCTTGATTGGGTGCACAATCACCAAAAGAGCTAAGGCAAATACTGTAGTGATTTTTCCTGGGTAAGACTATGAAATGGGGAGATTCCTTGAAAATTAGGGATTGATCCTGCCCTGTAATTCCCACCTAAGGCTGGCAATGTACTGTTGGTAAAGCAATGGAAGTAGGAGAAAAAGGAGTAAAGTGAGCGAAAAATTTAAATCCCTGATGACCTAAGCATTTCACTGTTGCTGTGTTTTTCTCTGCAGGACCCTAATTTGCGTTTCCAAAGGGAAATACGGTAAAAACATGATTTTACTCTTACTTGAAAGTGCTAGATCAGGGAGTCTAATCAGTCTGTTTCTCTTTGTGATAAGTGTACTGCTGCTAGTTTCTGCTCACAAAAACCAATTGGCCGTACAGCTAAGTGCAAAGAAGTAGGAGTATTGCTGAAAAGAAAATACTTATACATCCTTCCTGTTCATCAAGTCAAAGCAAATCATCTGAGGCACATTTTTACTAGCACGATGGAGCTACGTCATGCTAGTAAAATTTTTCCTCAGATGATGAAAACAATAATTATTTCATGTTTAGGATGTAATAATTACATTAGACCATTGAGTACGGCAGTTTCTCATCATTCACCATTCATAATTATTTGACACGGCAGGAGGTCGCGAGGCAGCAACATTGGCGCTTCTGGCTCGGTTCCAAGAGAAGCTTACCTCTGTCAGGCAGCTAGAGGAGGAAGAGGAGGAGGAAGGGGAATCGAAGGTGAATGTGAAAAAGGAAGAGAGGATGGAAGACGGAGAGGTGGAGGAGGAGGAAGAGGATGATGAAAATGACAGCAGCTGGTAAAATTCTACCAGTGCTTGTATTCTTTCTCTGAAGCGGGAGTCACTTCAGATGACCTGAAAATTTCCACGGGTTTTCCAGGTTGAAGCACACGCTCAAGTTCGAATCCAACGATCCCGTGCTGGCCAGGGATGCCAGCACGAAGGACGATGACTGGTTCGATATCTACGATCCACGGAATCCCATCACCAAGAGGCGGAGAGAGGCAAGCGAACAGGCCCTCAAGCAGAAGGGGGGCGAACTGGCCCTCAAGCAGAGGGATAAACGATAACTTCTGTCATCTTGTGTTCTTTGTTGTTTCTTTTTTCCCAGGTAATGTGATTAATATACTGTAAAGGGTGTCCTTCGGGAGCTGTTAAGAAAAGCCCTTTAAGGGCATGTTGAAAGGAGGAAAACTTTCTTCCTGTCAACTTTCCTCCTATGCCACGATGTGGCAGAAATATTCGATTTCCCACCGATTTGTAATGGACCCTGTAAACGTGAACGTTTTGCATGTCATTCATGAATCTTATTTAAAGGTCACCAAAACTGGAGTGGTTATGATGAGAATGCCCAAGAAGCACTCCCAGGACTTTCTCTATACGCTTCTTTTGAGGAGTTCCCAGCCAGGTTCCATGTCTTTGTGTCACAGCAAGATCGATGCACTCCCCCAATAAGACAGCTGTCCGGCAACAAATTGGAACTGAGTCTCAAACGCTTTTTCCCACCGCGAAGTGGTGTCGGCCACGGGTTTGATGCACTTGCACGCAGCGAGAGTTAAAATTCGCAGCCAAGTCACAGTTGGCGATCCGTCAGTGTTCAGTGAAAACTGTAGTCTACCAAAATTTCATTTTGGACGCGTGCTAAGCTAATTCCAGGTACTATTGTAACTTTCTCGGAAAAGATGCTTGTTTACAGACACGGTTCGTTACGTCGATCCCGCCTTCCCCACCCTCCAATATTTTCCGCTTTCATGGTCGGCGCTTCTAAGCCATTCACTAGCGAACAGATCGACAAGGTTGCGCCGAAGAACACTGTAATATCGGATGACGGAATGCTGAAATACGGGGTGTTAAGCCCACTTCGGTCCACGGTCTCTCGGATTCCTCCCCATTCCCGCCCCGATTCCGCAAGCTCTCATATCTTGCACCCGCAGACCAACCCCGTTCACCCCATGCACTTAATCGCTAAATTAAGCAGGTCGCTTAATCCCTGCTTCATCGCACAGCAGATGCACGTCCGTGCTTCTAACACTCGATTCCCGTATTTCAGGGTTTCCAAAGCGCACCTGGGTGACCATCCGTGTAGGTCTTCCACCTACAGGTAGAAAATTTCTTCCCATTTGACCTTGATGAAAGGCATGCTTTCCGTGAAGTCTATCGCTCAATTCATCCAACTTTCTGAAAGGAGTGCGAACTTCCCCAACTTTTCCGTTTAAAAAACGAAGAGCTCGCTCGCAAACTTTCGCCTACTCACGTCTCCAATTCCGAGATCGTCATTGCCAACGAACGAAAATTTGCAATGAAATCTGCTGTGCCATCCGGAAAAAGTGCAGGAGGCAGGTGAATGACCGGGATCCGGCCTCAGCCGGCTCGTGCCATCCCGCCCGTGCTTCTGCTCTAATTATAAACCGAAGGCATGGCAATTAGAACAGATGCCTCCCTCCTTCGATTCGGATGCCACCTGGAACACCACCTGTTCCGTATTCCACGAGACAAAGTGGCAGCATTACCTCTGACTGAAATCTATTAGCTTTAAAATCCCGAATGCGAGATTATCTTTACGGATATCTTCTAAGCCGTAATCTGGGAGCAGATTTTCGCTAGAAATCCCCTTTGAACCGGATTAATTCCCGAGAATTAACTCCCGACGAGGATTCAACCCCGGAAAACAGACGACGAGGAAACTCCTGGACCGAAAGAGAATGTTGCTCGATCTCGTGATCCCACCGGAGCTCGGATCGATCCCGAAGGGAAAAATAGGCGGGAGAAATTGGATGAAGAAATCCTTTGAGTCGGGTGTTGCCGGGAGAAACCCACGATATCGATCTGCTCTTTCACGAAGACCGGATTGAAGACTGGATAGACGACGGCAAAGACTCGAAATCCACGACCGCGATCCCCAGAATCGTCACCGACCGCGGACGTCCGCCTCGCGCAATCGCTGCAGACGATGAAATTTTTGTCGAACGGCTTTCAACGCGATCCAACGCAGGGAAGGATGCCAAAAAAAATTGCAGAAAAGCAAACCAGACCGTTACCTTTTCAACATAAAAGGATCCAGGTGGAGGAAGATGAGTAATTAATTCCCATGGCAATTTTAATATTTCAGTATTTTTTTCCTTTGGATGCCTACATTTCCATTATTAATTAATGGCTTTTAACTTTTAATTTCGCTTTGACGACTGCACTTCCTCTTCATTATTTATTCCCTCCTACCCCCCCGCAAAAGGCACTCCAACCCCAAGAGAGCGAAATAAAGCAACCTTGAAAACCAGAAGAGCCAGAAGAAAGCCAAAGCAGACGGACAAGCCCCGCAATGTTCAGGGGATTTCGTCCCCGGAGTGTGACCTGGAAGCCAGATCGGGAAACCAGAGGACCCTCTATTATGGGCTTTCTCAATACCCGTTAATGAAGAGGAGAAGCCCCTCTGCCCCCCATGCCCCCCCCCCCCCCCTTCGTCCCTCTCTTCTTCCCCGAAGAGCCAAAGTCGAGTCCCGAAAAGGAGTGTTGGGTGCGAGGAGACGCTGTTGTATTTTTCATGGTGGTAATCCGAAAGAGGGGTCTTCGGGTGTCTGGTTTGAGACAGCTGCAATCAATCATCTCCAAGTCGTCCTCCCTCCCCCCCCTTCCCCCTTTCTTGCTTTATTGCATCTTCCCCCCCCCCCCTCTCGGGACTTCAGAGGCAATTCTACCTAATGAACGCGAAAGCATGGGAGTACTACCTGCACGCCTTCTGATCCGGGATTCATGAAGGCAGGAGGCAAATGATTCCCGATCCTCCTGGGATTCCTGTTTCCTCCATTTACATGCTCCCACGTCTTTTCAAAGGGATGCCAATTATTCCGGAGTTCTCTGAATTTCACAAGCAGACGGAAAATCGTTATCTCTTGGAACGGTGCAGAAGGAAGTATCCGTTCTGTTCCTGTTCGTCTCCACCTTCAGGTGGAGGTGTTTACAGGGCACCTCCGATCCACCTCATTTTTTTTTAAATTCGTGCTACTGATTCGAAATCGGTTCAGAAAATTGTTGTCCCGAACATTTAAAACTAATTTTAACCTGACATAAAAGGCAGCAAGCAGTAATTGGTGTTAAGCCTAGATCCTACAGGGCTGGCAAATGGGCCGAGTTGGTACTTTTGTTGGGTCTAAATTGTTTATTTTTCATTCATTTTCACATTTTACAGAAGAAATATACATTCTTTGATCCCTTTTCCAGTTCGACTTTATAAGTGAACTTGGAGTTCGTGTTCCTAGGAAATTGAATTGGTTTCGTTCCCGGTTCAGGTTCGATGCACTGGTTAATCCGGCTATCGATTTTTTATTACTCTATCCACGCGCCTGGTTTAATTTACAAAAGGCATTTCCAACCACCTAACGCGACAATATTCACGACGAAAAAATCTGACAACTTCGGATTGCGATGTCCTTGGGATACATAATTAGCGAAATCTCAATAATTCACTTGGGTCGTCGACAGCCGTGCTGCCCAGATGAAGACGAATCCCAAAAAAACATCGAAGAGATTCTGGTATCGATAAATTCTCACCGACCCAGCAAGCGCGCTTCGCGGTCCACTTCCATTTGTATGATTTGATGGGATCGGATGCGTTTGTGAAACCGTGTTCGATAAAAAGGCCTGCACGAATCCCTCCCCAGCTCCTCCAGCGTATCCATTCCAACCAGTTCCAATTCAACCGGGCATTCTTGTATATAAAACACTTTCATCACGTTGGAGGACCGAGTTTTCTTTCCTTCCCGCGAGGGAAAATGGAATGAGGGAGAGGGAGGTCCGGGAGGTCTCCTCGCATGCGCCCCCACGCGAAGGGCATTTACTTCGATGTGCATGGCGGGAGGAGTTCAGTTTCGGTTCGGACCGCTGTGGATGCGGGAGTCGTCGTCGCATCGGTGAACATATCGCATGAGTGCTTCATCTTCTCACTGCCTTATCCTTGCTTTTCTCGGGCTTTTCCGTCTCGGTTAGTCGGTTGCCATGTGGGTCCTGGCGGCGCTTTCCCTTGCTTTCTATTCGGGTGAGTACATCGATGGTTTTTTTTAAACACCGAATTCCTGATTTATAAACTGCTTCCCCGGGAAGCCCATTACCGGTAAGTTTCCGTTTCTCATGAGGTTTCTCACAAAGTTAAGAAAAAGATGTCATCTTCCACCAGTAAATGCAGGGCTTCGAGCCCGACTATGACTTCGATGATCATCTTTTGAGTCCGCAGTTGACGGTCATCTAGTCCCCCCGACGGTAAATCTCTCGTTATAGGTTCTCCACTGAATTTACAGGCGTTTGTCTTTGATTTTTTGCTGACTTTCCACTGGAGGGGAGGGGGGGGGGATTCCAAACGGAACGTATTACGTAATGAAATCCACTGTCCTCGAGGTGACTAATCTTGCATCCAGTTTCTTTTTTAATAAAAAAAGTAATTCCGTTCCTTGAGAAATATATAATAAGGCATTTCTTACAGATACATACATAGATACTAATATATAAAGAAAGATATATATTCATCTTCCGTAAGCCCATCATCTGGCCCAATTAGCAGTAAGCGGCAGACAAAGGAAACAAGCACGAGGCAGATGCAGATGGGGAACCGCTACAGAAGGCCAACTTCATTATAAACGAGCTGTTAATTAACAGCTCGTTACGCGTTTTGCGGTGCTACAGAGCGTCGTCTGCCTCTTCCATTCGCACGAAGTCGTGAATCTATAAGCTTGTGAAAGTTTTGGAACATGGCTTGCGCATGAAGAAATATTGAACAAAAATCACAAAAAAAAATCGTATCGACCAGTTCAAAATGCAATGCATTTAATAATAAATCATAAATAATAAATCATAATAAATGAATGCTTGAACGCATTTAATGCATTACATTAAAACTCCATTTAAATCGAGTTAGTAGCGGGAGGGACGGACCTTTAAATCTCCCCTTTAATCACGCATTCGAAACTCTTACAAGAATTGATTAATATTGCATATTAACACGGAGACAAAGAAGCTTCCAACGACATAGAATTCACCGTGATCGTAGCACGGAATTTCAAGCAACGAACAGTAGAACTGGCTATATTCACTCAAGCAGCCAGGGGGAGCGCTCAGTTTCTTTTCGGAATTGAATACTGATACGAACCATTTCATTTAAGTCAGAGGGAAACGCCCAAGTAAAACATGTGCCATGGAGGGAGGATGGTTCAACTTACGACCTGATCCCACGGGAAGCCACGGATTCCATGGGATATAGGTTTGGATGTGATGAAAGTTTGAAA